CACCACCATCAGTTACTGCGGTCAACAGTTTACCAGGCTGCAAAGGACCAAGGTAAAGGTGACCCGATGAGGGTTAAGCTCAGTGCAATATGTGGGCCCTGATCGTAGACAGGAGCCAGTGGTGCGCTGGCACCAGAAGCCTAAGGAATTGCTTAGGGCCCCACAGCTCAAGGGGGGGGGGCCCGATTCAGTATCACCCCCTCCCCCCAATATCCCTGATCTCACTGAACCTGGGCTTGTTCCCAAGCGCACTGGGCTGTGCGGTGCAGTGCGAGGTTGGTGGCAGTAGTGCCAATGGCCATCAGCATTTCGGGGGGGGGCGGGGGCCCCCCAGGGGCTAGCGCCGCCTCTGACAAGGGCTGAGGGGGGCTGGCGGAGACTCAGGGCGCCACCCCGCGCCCGCCACTGCCTGTGTGCGCGGGGCGGGCCGGGGAGCTCGGCGGGGGCCGGGCCCGGAGCCCGCGGCGGGGGCCGGGCCCGGAGCCCGCGGCGGGGGCCCGAGGCGAGGCGGGCCGGCTCACCCGCGTTGAGCAGCTTGAGGGCGGTGAAGGCGGCGTTTTGCAGCGCCAGGTCGCGGCGCGGGGCCCGCGCGCAGTGGTACTTGATGAAGGGGAAGCAGCCCGTGCGCAGGACGTGGTAGTTGGCGCCGTCCACCTGCCAGTTGAAGTGCGAGAGGCCGAACTGGTCGTTGCGCACGGCGCTGTACTTCACGCAGTACGAGGTCCAGTGGGGCAGGCCCCGCTGCCGCAGGTGCCGGCTCAGCACCTCGGAGGCCTTGGGCTTGGCGGCGGCGGCGCCCCCGGCGGGCGGGAGCAGCCGCCTCAGGGCCGCCTCGTGCAGCTGCCGCAGGCGCAGCATGCTACAGGCGGAGACCCCCCTCAGCGCCCGGCCCGCGCGCCCCCGACACTCGCCCGCCTGGCCCCGCCCCCAGCCGTCCCAGCGTGCCCGGCCGTGCGCGCCCCCGGCGCTGTGCCCGCGCGCGCACCAGAGGGGTGTTGGCACGGCTCGCTCCCGGAGCTGGTGGGCACGCGACCGGGCGCGCGGGCCGGTCTGCTGAGTGGGGAGGATGGGAGGCGTCACGTGGCAGGTTCCCTGGTTAGGGGTGTGTGAATGGGTAATAGGGTCACCTGTGGGCCCTGATAAAGGGGGTTCCTGAGGGAGATACTGGGGGTCACCTGGGGCCCCTGAGGGAGATACT